AAAAAAAAAAAAAAAAAAAAAAAGAAAAATAGAAAACCACAGACCAATATCTCTGAAGATAGATCTGAAAATTCTCAACAAAATACTAGCAAACTGAATTCAATAGCACATTAAAAGTATCACACACAATGATCAATTGGGATTCATGCCTGGAATTCAAGGATGACTCAATATACACAAATCAATAAATGTGATACACCACATGAATAGAATGGAAAATAAAAACCATATAATCATTCTAATAGGTGCAGAAAAAGAATTTGATGAAATTTAACATTTTTTATTAAAAAAAAACTCTCAACAAATTGGGTATATAAGGAATATACTTCAATATAATAAAAGCCAGATATGATAGACCTATAGCTAGCATTATACTTGATGGTGAAATGTTAAAAATCATCCCACTGAGGTCAGGAACAAGAACAGGGTACCCTCTCACTACTCCTATTTAACATAGTACTGGAAGTCCTTGTCAGAGCAGTTAGACAAGAAATAGAAATGAAAGGCATCCAATTAGAGTCTAAGAAGTAAAGTTGTCTCTGTTTGAAGATGATACAATCTTACAGATGTAAAAATCCTAAAGATTCCACCAAAAAACTGTTAGAACTAATCACTTCAGTGAAGTTTCAAAATACAAAATCAGCATACAAAAATCAGCTGTGTTTCTATACACTAACAATGAAATATTTGAAGAAGAAATTTTTTAAAATCCCATTTACAACAGCATCAAAAACAATAAAATACTTAGGAATAAATTTAACCCAGGGGGTGAAAGATGTGTACATTATAAATTATAAAACATTAATGAAAAAAATTGAAGACACAAATAAATTGAAATCTATCCCATGTTTGTGGATTGGAAGAATATTGTTAAAATGCCCTTACTACCCAAAGCTAGCTATAGATTTAGTGCAGTCGCTGTCAAAATTCCTAAGGCGTTTTTCACAGAAATAGAAAAAAATCCTAAAATTCATGTGGAACCACAAAGGACCCTGAACAACCAAAGCAATCCTGAGAAAGAAGAACAAATCTGGAGGTATCACACTTCCTGATTTCAAACTATGTTACAAACCTATAGTAATCAAAATTATATGGTACTGGTACAAAACACACACATCAACTAATGAAACAGAATCAAGAGCTCAGAAATAAACCCATGCATATAAGGTCAACTAATATTTGACAAGTTAGCCAAGAATACTTTACGGGGAAGGATCCATAGTCTCTTTAGTAACTGGTGCTGGGAAAACTGGATAGTCACATACAAAAGAATGAAATTGGACTCCTGTCTTACACCGCTCACTAAAATTTACTCAAAATATATTAAAGACTTAATGTAAGACCCAAAGCTAAAACTTCTAGAAGAAAATATGGTACAGCTTAGTGGTTAGACAATCATATACTTAACATAGTGTTCCCTTTGATATTTCCAGTACCCCAACTGGCACCATACATAGTAATCACAATATTATTGACTATATTTCCTATGCTTTACTTACTTCCCTGTGACTATTTGTAACTACCAATTTGTGATTCTTAGTCCTTTCACCTCCTTCACCCAGTGCCCCAACATTTCCTCCCCTCTGGCAACCACAAGTTCTCTCTTTCTATGAATCTGTTTCCATTTTGTTTGTTTGTTTATATTGTTCCTTAGATTCCACATATAAGGGAAATCATATGGTATTTGTCTTTTCCTGACTGACTTATTTCACTGAGCATAATACCCACTAGGCCCATCGATGCTGTCTCCAATGATAAGATTTCATTCTTCTTTATGGCCAAGTAATATTCCATTGTATAGATGTGCCACAGCTTTTTTAACCACTTGTCTGTTGATGGGCACTTGGGTTGCTTCTAAAGCTTGGCTAATGTAAATAATGCTGCAATGAACATAGGGAGATTATATATATATGTGTGTGTGTGTGTATATATATACATATATATACACACACACACATACACACACACACATATCCATCCTCTGGCAAGGGAAACAAACAAAACAGAAAAAATGGGATTGCATCAAACTAAAAAGTTTTTGCATAGCAAAGGAAGCCATAAAAACCCCCACAAAACACAACCTATTAAATGGTAAAACATATTCTCCAATGATACATCTGATAAGGGGTTAATATCCAGAGCTTATAAAGAACTCATACTGCTCAACACCAAAAAAACAAACAAATTTAAAAATGGTCAGAGGACCTGAATAGACACTTCTCCAAAGAGGACATACAGATGGCCAAGAGACATATGAAAAGATGCTCAATGTGAGCATCATTGGAGAGATGCAAATTAAAACCACAATGAGATGTCACCTCACACCTGTCAGAGTGGGCGCCATCAATAAATGTACAAACAACAAGTGCTGGCGAGGGTGTGGAGAAAGGGGAACCCTAGGGCACTGTTGGTGGGAATGCAGGTTGGTGCAGCCACAGTGGAAAACACTGTAGGGTTTCCTCAAAAGATTAAAAATGGAACTGCCTTATGACCCAGTAATTCCATTTCTGGGGATTTATCTAAAAAAACCAAAACACTAATTCAACATTAGACTTGACAACAATCATTTTTGGATCTGAAACCCAAAGCTCAAGAAACAAAAGTGAAAATTAATAAGTAGGACTGCATCAAACTACATCTGTAGTAAAAGAAACAATCAACAAAATGAAAAGGCAACCTATTGTCAAACCTATCTATCAGATAAGGAGTTAATGTCTAAAATATATTTTGAACTCATTAATATTGTTAATATAACAAAAATTAAAAATAGCAAAAAAAAACACAATTAAAAATGGGCAAGAGAATAGAAATTTTTCAAAGACATACAAATGGCCAAGGTACGTGAAAAGGTGTTCAAAATCTTCAATCATCAGGGAAATGCAGTTCAAAACCACAGTGAGATAGCTCCTTAGGATGTTAGGATGGCTGTTATCAAAAAGACAAGTGACGAGTGTTGTAGAGGACACGAAGAGAAGGGAATTCTTGTGCACTGTTGGTGGGAGTATAAACTGGTGCAGCCACTATGGAAAACAATACAGAGTTTCCTTTAAAAAATTAAAAATAAAACAACCATATGACCCATCAATCCAAAGGAAATGAAATCACTCTCTTTAAGAGATCCTGGCACTCCCCTGTTCATTGCAGCGTCATTCACAATAGCGAAGCCATGGAGAACCTAAGTGCCCACCGGCGGGCGAGTGGATAAGGGAGACGGGCATGCACATACCTGCACTACAGGAATGCCGTGCAGCCAGAGAAGAGGAGATCCCGCCCTTTGTGACAGCATGAATGGACCTTGGGAGCAAGATGCCAAGTGAGTTAAGTCAGACAGAGAAAGACAAATACCATATATTCTTATATGTGAAATCAAAAAAACCTAACTCATGGAAATAGAGACTAAAGTGGTGGTTGCCAGGGGCTGCAGGTAGGGACAACTGGAAAATGTTGGTCACAGGGTACAAACTTCCAGTTACAAGGCGAATAAGTTCTGGGGATCTAATGTACAGCATGGTTACTATAGTTAACAATACTGTGTCATATACATGTGAAAGTTGTTAAGGGAGTATATCTGAAATGTTATCACTGCACAAAAAATGGTAATTCTGTGAGGTGATGGACAGGCTAATGAATATTATTGTGGCCAACATTTCACATCAAACCATCACATTGTACACCTCAAACCTGCATATGTTGTATGTCAGTTATATCTTAGCAAAGCTGAAAAGGAGAAAAAGGCATTATAGAAAAACCAAGGACATTTTAATAAAGTTTGTAATAATATGTCAATATTGTTTCACTAGTTGTGACAAATGACAACAGCAGAACATCGGGGAAAGTGGGTGTGGGGTATGTGTGAACTCTTTGTGTGAGCTCTTTGTACGATCTTTGCAACTTTTCTGTAAATATAAAACCGTTCTAAAATGTAAAACTCTAATTTCTTAAAAAAGAAAATACTTAAGAAGGCTGCCCCGTCCCATTTTTGCTGCAGGATCTTTATTAGAAGAAAAGATCAATGTGCGAATGCTCTTGGCTGAGAAAGTCGCCCTAGCTGGATGCGCGCGCACGGCCCTCCCTGCAGGCGTCTTCAGTAGCGGCGAAGCAGGCTGCCTGCAACATGCGCCGTTGCCACAAATGCCATGAGCCATTTTGATGTTGACAGTGTGTCGTTTCTTCCTGCAGCGTCCTGGCTGGTTACAATGGCACCATCTTTGCATACGGGCAAACAGGCAGCGGTAAGACCTTCACCATCACGGGAGGGGCGGAGCGCTACAGCGACAGGGGCATCATCCCAAGGACGCTGTCCTACATTTTTGAGGAACTGCAAAAGGTATGAAACTATATAAGTTCGTTTTTTACTTGATATAGTCAGCAGAAGTTTACCGTGGGCAAGAAATTTATTGTGACATTTTATTATATTGTATCTAAATGAGCAGGTATTGTTGTGCAATATTCCTGGTCTTTTCATGGAAGGGAAGTTTGGGTTTTGCTGAAGAAATGGAAATTAAGAAGATGCTTCTCACTGAAGGGACGCTGTTTCAGCAAAGGCTCCGAGGGAGCTCCTTCTGATTCACATGAAGGTTAAAAAGGAACCGGCAACGCATTCTACAACTGATACCTTATTAAGAAAGTGAAGAATGCCCCTTTGCCAAAACAGCCCTTTATTCTAGCTGCTAAAGCACTGACTAGGATATTGTGATTGCTCCCTTATCACACTTTTTATAGAAGCCTACAGGAATCTACCGCAGTGAAAATCCTATTGCAGTTAATATTTCTATAAGGACAAATTCCCAGCTGTAATATGTGCGTCACTGTGTAGCTCCAAGTGCCAGTTGCTTTATCAGTATGCGATACAGTGAACACAGCTAACAACGTAGTTACCCTTATCCCCACTTTATGTTTGGGAAGACTAAGTCTCAGGTTAAATAGCATTCTCTAGGTCCTTATAAGGTGCTCAGCTGGAGATCCACCCAGGTGTGTGTGAGGCCAAACTCTGTGCTTTTTATCTCTGCACTCACTGCCTCTGTATCCCAGACTGGATTTGTTTCACTGGTTGTGTTTAAACAGACTCTCTACTGTGAGCCGCTTCTCTGGGTTTCAGTTCTCCCCTCTGTGAAAGTGGGGGTTGAATTTACTAGAGGATCTCCAGCTCGCCTAGTAGCTCCAACAGCTGCTTGGTTGTACTAATTCTGTGTAACAAATGTCCTAACTAGGTCAGTGTAACAGCCACTCCAACATTTCCCGACTGTATGCTGTTTGCATTTTAAGTTGCAACAATGAGAAGAAATTGCTGAGATCTGCAGGATTCTAATTTCCATCCATAAAGTAGCAATTACCCATTAGTTCAGCTCATCTCTCACTGGCTCAGACATTCCAACTCTGCCTGCCAGAATATTTGGAACAGAGAGTTGAGCAGAGTGTACACGCTGGCTCCAGATCCCTTCCTTTCATTTACTCATTTATTTCTGACATTAGCTGTTTTGTTTTTCCCCAGATTTCACAAACTGGGAATGTAATTTCTAATGGTGTCTATTGCTGCGGCCTAATGTAGAAGCCTGTTGTCTGGGAGAGGCCGACCTGCTTCTACTTGCAGCATGTGGACTTGGGCAGTTCCTAAAGTTTCAGGCCTGTGGAGCTGCTCTGAGAGCTGAGCATACTGTACATTGTCCAGTTTCTGGCACATATTAGGTGCTTATACTGTACATTGTCCAGTTTCTGGCACATATTAGGTGCTCAATACAGGCTCGTTATTACTACAGCTGTCAATATCCACATACAGCAGGTCCTCGAATAACGTCATTCAACCGTCTTATTATAATGCTGATGAGATGCTGCAGAAACGTAAATTTTGTTTATTTAACTAGCCTATGGTAAAACTGGTTTGGTTATACATCGTTTAAAGTCACAGAACCCATCAACAGCGTTAAGTGAGGACTTACTGTACTATATATGCATGTGGACAGAAGACCCCTGACCAATTTCAAAGAACCCTTTGAAACGCAGAACAAATGAAGCCAATACCCCTGATAAAGTTAATCAGGGTAAACAAATGCTTTCCTAATAGAAAGTATATATGTCCCTCTTTAAATTTTTTCTGTGGTTACCAAAATACATTTCTGAAATTCTACCTGTCTCCCCAGCACCTACCATGTGTCAGGTTCATTGTTTTATGTGTTTGTCGTCAACATTACTCTAAACCCCATTTCATTCCTAATGGTCCAATTTACAGCCAGGACAACCCTTTGTAAATGGACGGTTTCCGTGATGGGGACGGGCACACTCATTGCAATCAAACTGAGCTGCGGCAAAACGAGTCAGAGGCGGCCTGAAGTGTGTCGTAAAGTTTTTCTGCAATGTATAGCCGAAAAATGCAGGCAGGCGCTCAGCTGTCCCTAATCGATTGCTCTAGAGGGCCACCTGGAGTGCTCTAGAGTTCTTAAATAAAACATTTGATTTCTGCAAAGTACTTTTTTCAAGATAAACTAAGAGCCAGTGCATACCGGGTCCTGCAGTGCCTATGAGTGTGATAGGAGCACATTTTCAACTATTTTAGAAGAAGAAAAATGAGTCCATTGATTTTAGAAATCACTGCTCGTTATTTTTGAGTATTGTGAGGTTCAGACTTGTTTTGGGGCAGAAGAGAAGGCTGTCTGCAGGAACATGTGTGTTACATTACAGTCTGGCAACCCTAGACACTGAAAAGGGCAATAAGGAAAGGTAGCTGCCACATCGCTCGGTGGGTTGCATTCCAGTAAAAGCCCAGAAAATGCAGGGGCTGGAGGAGCCAGAGGCATTACCCCGCCCATCTCAGGGCTGTGGGCCTGCGTTTCCCTGCTTTTTATGATTCCTTCTCATTTCTGGAAGAAGACAGTGTCTCCACTGCAAATGGACGTACAAGTTAGCTGTTCTCTCTGCCTCTTTTCCTTTCTCTTTATATTCACATATTGAATTCTCCATTTGAAGGCTTTAGAAATAGTAAAACTAACGACAGCAATAGTAATAAGAGCAGTGACTACAACAGTTTGTTGGTGCCTATTACAGGCCACTTATTTTTGGTAGGATTTTAAATACAGAGCCCTATATTTCTGTCGCAACAGATAGGCAAGACAAGGGTTATTATCCCCATTTTCATGGTTAAACAACTGAGGCTAAGGGTAGAAATGGCAGATCCAGTATTTAAACCCGGTTCTTGGTCTGATGCTAAGATGAGCTCAGAAGGGTGTGCTAGAACTTTAAACCATAATCCGTGAAATATTTCAGATACATTCAGATAAGTTTTAGAAATGTGTTGTTTTAACAGGATCTTGGGATGTTGCCGTGGCCTTTAATCTTCTCTGAGAATCTTCCAGAGAGGAACAGCATATACAGGGTGGGGCAAAAGCAGTTTTACTGTTGTCCGTATGGAAAATAATACAATAATTAGTAAGTGATAATACAAGAATAAACTCTGTTTTGTGTACTCACGACTTGTAAACCTACACTTTTGCCCCACCCTGTATGTGTTGACCGTGGATCAGTTTTTCCAAGAGTATTTCATGGAATGTTTTAGGAAACACTGCCTTAGACTAAAGGCTACAGAGAGTCTGTCTGGTATTTATAGTCTCTGATACCTGCACTAAGCCAAACTTCAACCCAGAGAATTATGTTGGACTGTGCCTTCTCCAGACTAGGGTGCTAGTGTCACTGATGGATCATTTGCAGGATGAGCAGCCAGAGACCCCACATTGGTGGGATTTCTAGCATTTAGGTGGGAGAAATTTGTTCCATGGAGATTCAGTCCACGCTGTCACCTTCCCAGAACAGCAGAATGTGAAATTTCAGCTGTGGCTTGGGCATTTTACTACATTCGTGTGCTGGCTGAGAGTTGCCTTAATTTTTCATGTATTATTTTGTTTCAGTGAAATAGTGGTATCTTTGTTCGAATGGTTTGAGCTATTTCAGGACCGGAGAATTATATTAATTTTAATCTGAAGACGATGTAGGGAGTCATTATCCAGCTTCCTTGCTTTGATGGACATGGAAACTGAGACCTGACATAGTAGGGCTCGCAGCTAGTAGAACTAGGTTCCAGCTGCAGGGCTACAGGCCACTGCTCTCTCCCCATCTCTGCGGCCTGCTCCTCTCTCTCCTCGAGCAACATCTGTTAAATGGATTGTCTTGGATGCGGATGAGAGTTGACCAGGAGGCTTGTCTTAAGTAAACCCCTGTGAACAGTCACTCTGACAACCTGCTGACCCTCTGGCACAAGGCACAATATATTCCCCCCTTATGAGAAACAGGATATCTGCATAATATTTTGGGAGGAACAACAAGAAGGTGATATTATTTGATATTTTATATTAAAAACTGAACTTGGAATTTTCTCAAGAGCTGAAAAAATTCTGTTTTATTCCGCTGCAGTGGGAGTGGGTTCTTTCTGTCTGTTGGCAGAACCAAGACCAGAACCGTAGAGCCAGTCCCCTTGACTTTTTATCCTAATTCCATTGGTACCTATGTCATTGCATTTCAGCAGTGACCCATAGAAATCGCCTCTCTCTAATCAATAGCAGAGTACCCCTGATTTGCCACTTGGGCCAGAAAACTTAACCAGATAGGTATAGGCGGTGAACTGGTAATGTCCACCCTTATGATTACTTGATTGACTTAACTATTTCTGTCCCCTGGAATTTACTTTACATTATCTAATTATTGTCTGTTATCTATTTATGTCACTAGAAAATATGAATATTAGAAAAGTTAAAAAAGATTTGTGATTAAAGATGGAAACTCTTTTGCTACTGAAGTTTTTAACCCAAAGTAACAGTCTGTGTTCTTTTATGAATAGACTATTCACAGAATACAAGTTTATTTTTTCTTGGTAACCTTTTATTTTGGTCTGGAAAGTAAAAAATGGTCTTATACGGTTCCGCTACCCAGGCAGCTCACCGTAAGTGTAGACTGACTTGTTACGTGGACCGTGGAGCCCATACGGAGTAACCGACTGAGGTTGCTTATACCCATGGGTATTGGCCAAAAAAAAGCTCCATGCATATGGTAGCTGGCAACTTGAAAGTGTCATGAATTGAAAATGTAAACCATACAAAGTGTGAAGAAAAGGGGAAACTGTGGGGTAATCACAGTGATAAATGTGCTCATCTTCCTCTCAGCCGAGTCGTTATTTCAGGCCATTAAATGACGTCTCTCCCTTTCCCAATCAGGACAGCAGCAAAATATATACAACGCACATTTCTTATTTGGAAATCTACAATGAATGTGGTTATGATCTATTGGATCCAAGACATGAAGCCTCCAGTTTGGAAGATTTGCCGTGAGTAGCAGAACAACAAAGAACAGGGGAAATTGCTTTCAGATGTTTCCTTCAATTGTTTTCTCTGAAACTTTGCATGTTTCTGGTCGCAATTGTAATTAACAAGCTCTGGATAACAGAATCTTTTTTGTAATATAATGGATACCTTTTCATAGTGACAGGAACTGAACCTGCTTAGAGCTCACTCCTTGGGAAAGCCTCTCGGAGCTGCCCCAAGGAGCAGTGAGCGCCCCGGACTGATGGGGCGGGACGGTGCTACTTTCCTCCCGCCACATGAAACCCTCCACGCCTCTAATTGTGGCCTTTCCCTGAAGGAGGTATTCAAATTAGGGTTCCTGCAGCAATGAGAGAATCTGAAAGAGAAAATAAAACTTGAAGTTTCCCCAAATCCTTCTTGACTGTTCTTAAGACCAACAGTGACAATCATTTGGTCACGATCGGCCCTGATCGTTTCGTGACCGAACTATAAATAGAGTGTTCAGAGCTTATCTAATCCTGGAGCAAGTTGCCCTGCCAGCATTTCTGTAACATTACTCACTGCTTGTTTGAATATCTGCCTGAATTAGACATATGTTAATTGGCAACAATGCATATACTTTATCCAGACATCTTCATATATGAGAAGATGCCAGAACCAAGAAAACACATTTTAATGTTCTTCTTATTAAATATTCTAAAGCAATTAAATTTTGTGTATATTAATCCTCTACCCAAAAGATCAACAACCAGGTATTTAATTTGTAAAGGAAATAAAAATAATAAAGAAAATAAGTTATACTCTTTGCACCACCTTTATACATATTCTTCCTTTAATGTTCATTGTTTGTTTTTACATATCATCTCTTTTATGCTTACTGTATTCATTAGAGGAAGTTAGGAAAAGGGATGATTGTTGCTACTCTAAATATTTGTCTAAGAATTAAGAGAAAGAAAAAAAAAAAACAGAGTTAAGAGAAAAGAAAAATTACTGACTTTGTGGAAGACATTGGCCTTAAAGAAACTATTGGAATTATGTTTACAGAAAGGTAAAAGTTTCCTATCACTACTAAAAGAAATCTACTATGTTACAAAACAATTCTGTCATCCAGTATTTGCTAACTGCAATGGAGACCAGAAAGAGTGGCTTTACACACTGGGACAAGCTCTCGCTGAAGTCCTACCTGCCTAGTTCCCTGGTTGGTTTCATTGTTGTGAGCGGGAAGGTGCCAAACACTCTAAACACCATCCAAAAAGGTAAAATCTCATGGGAACAACATTAATGACAGGAGGCGTGGTTGGAAAGGCTAGGTGCTGAGGAGTCACGTGAAGTAAAAGCTGAGGGACCAGCTGAAGCTGGATTCTGAGGGACTCAAACAGCAGGCTTTGGTGAGAGATTGCTCTTCATTCTTACAGGTGTCTTAATTAGTTTTCCAGCTCCAGTTGGGCCTATATACCTCTAGGCTAAATCTCAATTAAAATTGCTTTTAACAAGTCACATCTACACCGAAGAACATAAAGCCTGCTTAGCAATAATACAGAAATGAAGGGCTTGGCTGTAATGACCATGAAGGAGGAGATGTAAATGTGAGAGATATGCAACAATAAATAAATAAGAAATAAAATAAATTCATTATATCCATCACCTTGGATTTGATTGTGCTTGGAAAGAAGGTGAATCATAGTAAGTTGGTGCGCTCCTCATTTTACTGGTTGAGAAAAGAAAGCTCTAAGACATATGACTTGCCCAGGGTCAAAACTAATTGGTTCATGGTAGAGCAAAGATTAAAAACTAGAATTCTCACTTTCATGCCAGAGCAGCCAAAAGAGCCTCAAGATTTTACCATGGGGTATAGAGAAATAATGAGTCATGGACCTAAAAAGGAGATTTCCATTAAAAAACTTGATTGGGTGGTGATGGACTTCCTATATATGATGTCAGAGCGCCAGACTAATGTCCATCGCTTTTTGCAAATGTTGCTATAGTCATTTAGCAATGAGTTTTTAGATACAATACCAAAAGCATGATATGTGAAAGAAAAAAATAGATAAGTTGAATTTTATCAAAATTAAAAACTTATGCTCTGCAAAAGACACTGCTAAGAGAATGAAAAGACATGCCCCAGACAGAAAAAATATTTACCAAACACATATCTAATGAAAGACTTGTATCCAAAATATACAAAGAACTCCTAAAACTCAACAATGAGAAAACAAACAACCCAATTAAGAAATGAGAAAAAGATCTGAATAGACTCCGCACCAAATAAGCATATGAAAAGATGCCCAACATCATCTGTCATTAGGGAATTGCTAATCAAAACAACAGAATACCACATCACACCTATTAAAATGGCTAAAATAAAAACATTAAAAAAAAACCAAAAAACTGTCAACACCAAATGCTGGCAAAAACATAGAACAGGAACTCTCATTCATTGCTGGTGGGAATGCAAAATGCTACAGCCACTTTGGAAGACATTTTTCTAATTTCTTACAGACTAAACATTCTTACCAAATGATCCAGCAATCATGCTCCTAGGTATTTAACCAAATGAGCTGAAAACTTATGTCAGAAGTATAGATAACAGCAGAAAGTCAGTGGCTGCCAGTGTCTGAGGAGGGGTAGGGTAGAGGGATGAATGGGTGAAGCACAAGGATTTGTTGGGCAGTGAAACTATTCTATATGATACTAATGGTGGATACATGACATTATGAACTTGTCAAAACCCATAGAATTTTTTTTTTTTAGCAAATCTATCAGCCATTAAAAAAAAATTGGCCAGTGGAAATCCCTTCAAGGTAGCCTCTGTTTCCTTTTCACACATTCCTATTAATCTTGGAAAATTTGTTTGCTTTCTGGCACAAATTGTCCTAGACCGACCTTGTGTTTTCGTTTTTTGTTGCCCAGGTGTGGACTCATCCTTTCTCTAAGAAGCCCTGTGTTTTTTTGTTGTTATTTTTGAACTTATTTAAACAAAAAAATAAAACAGTTCACCCAGTTCTTCCACCCCACCCTCCACCCCTCCCCCGTCAGGAATCCTAATCTGTCTCTGTATCTATGAGAATTTACAACACAAAGAGTGAACTCTAATGTAAACTATGGACCTTTAGATAATAAAACAACAATAACAAAAAGGAATGAATTATTGATACATGTGACAACTTGGGTGAATCTCTAGGGAAATAGCTGGGTGAAAAAAGCCAATCCCCAAAGGTTATATGCTGTATGGTTTTATTTATGTAATATTTTTAAATGGCAAAATTATAGAAATAGATAACAGATTAATGGTTGAAGGAATTAGGGAGGGCAGTGGGAATGGTTCTACAGGCCAGTGAGGGATCCTTGTGGTGATCTTGACTGTGGCTGTGGATATACAAAACTACCCATGTGATACAAACACAGACACGTGCACAAGTACAAGCAAAACTAAAACATCTGAATAGATGAGTAGATTGTATCAATGCCATTGTCCTGGTTGTGATATTTTTAATATAATTTCTCAAGGTGTTTCCATTGGGAAAAACTGGGATACAGGTACATGGGATCACTCTATTATATCTTACAGCTGCATGTGAATCTATAATTGTCACAAAATAAAAAGTTTAATTACAAGTAATTGGCTCCTCTGTCAGATATTAATTGACCATAGAGGTATGGGTTGATGTCTGGGCTCTCTGTTCTGTTTCATTGATCTATATGCCTGTTCTTATGCTAGTACCAGGCTGTTTTGATTACAATGGCTTTGTAGTATAGTGTGATATCTGGTATTGTGATCCTCCAACTTTGTTTTGCTTTCTTAAGATTGCTGAGGCTATTCGGCATCTTTTTTGGTTCCACATAAATTTTTGGAATATTTGTTCTAGATCTGTGAAATACGCCATTGGTATTTTAATAGGGATTGTGTTGATTCTATAGATTGCTTTAGGTAGTATGGACATTTTAATGATATTAATTCTTCCAATCCATGAACATGGTATATGCTTCCATTTATTTGTCTCTTCCTCAATTTCTTTCTTCAGTGTCCTATAGTTTTCCAAGTACAGGTCTTTTACTTCCTTGGTTAAATTTATTCCCAGGTACCTTATCCTTATTTTTTTGTTGCAATAGTAAATGGGATTGTTTTCTTAGTTTCTGTTCCTGATAGTTCATTATTGGTGTATAGAAATGCCATCAATTTCTGGATGTATCTTTTGTATCCTGCTACATTTCTGAATTCAAAACAGTATGGAGTTTCCTCAAAAAATTAAAAATGGAACTACCTTCTGACCCAGCAGTCCTACTTCTGAAAATATATCCTAAGAATCCCAAAACACCAATGAGAAAGAATAAGTGCAACCCTATGTTCATAGCAGCTCAATTTACAATAGCCAAGATCTGGAAACAGCCCAGGTGCCCATCAATAGATGAGTGGATAAAAAAGCTGTGGTACATTTACACCATGGAATACTAAGTGGCTGTAAAAAGGAAGGATCTCTTACCTTTTGTGACAGCATGGAGGGAACTGGAGATGATTATGCTCAATGAAAAAAGCCAGTCAGAGAAAGACAAATATCATATGATCTCACTTATATGTGGAATCTAATGAACAAAATAAACTGATGAACAAATGAGAGCCAGAGACATGGATACATAGCACAGACTGACAGAAGTCAGAGAGGAGGTGGGTGGGACAGACATGATGAAAGGAGATGAAGAGAATAGTTAAGGACATATATGCATAGCCTATGGACACAACAACAATGTGGTGAGGGCCAGGGGAGGGGAGGGCGGGCTCTAAGTGGAGGTAGGGCTAAGGCGGGGAATGGGAGACATCTGTAATAATGTCAACAATAAAAATAAAATACCATTTTTAAAAAGTAATTTGCTATATATTTATATAGAGACATATATTTGTATATAAACACATATGTGTATTAAGTCTATTCTTTATTTAGTAATTTAAATGAACTTAGAACTTCTGTTTTTGAAAGCTCTTTATATCATATGCTATAGTAAGAATCTGAGTGTGTCTCATGCAGTA